ATATAAAGTATGGCTTGTTAAGAGGAATTCGGGCGAGCGTGCAATAGGCGAGATAAAAGCCACAAGTGGAATTGTCTGCGCGAGGGGTTGATTCGATCAGGGCGGTCGAGCTTTCGTACGAAAGTGCCCCTCGTTTCAGATTCGCCGGGCCGCATCGTAAGTGCTTATCTCGAGGGTCTCTCCGCTGTTCAAGCTAAGCCGAAGTGAATTAAAGTCCTTCATCCATCACCCACAGGTGCTCCTTTCAAGTAGGATCGTTGGAACAATATCTGATTATTGCGAGCGATAGCTTGACGTCGACTCGAGAAGAAAAAGAAGTAATTCTTATCTTACGGTCATTCAAAAATTATTTTAAAAGAAAGATATCATCATATCATCTTGATTTTTGCTATTATTAATAAAAAGCGAGCACGTTACTCAACATGAGAATTGTCAAAATATAACAATATTCGCGCTATTTAATACATACGCACTAGATTCTTTTCGCTACGAAATTGTCATAGTAAGGAAAAATATTCCATTTGTCATATCACTCTAATGACGCGTCGGGACTTTTCTCTGAATCTCTGCAAATCTAGCAATTGTTCCAGCGTCGTGACATTTATGCCGAATGTACGTGACATGGGAGAAGAAGGGAGAGGAGAGAGAGAGAAAAGAAGATGAAGAGGATTTTCCTTTCAATCCGTGCCTCGTGCGTCCCTGAGAACCCCATTTATACCAAGAGTTTTACGCTCTCTTTTCTGTGAGTCGCACTTAAATCCCACCCTCTCCATTCTTTTCCTCTCTTACATTACCTTCTGCAATAGAGAACAAGTTGAAAAGAAAAAAGACGAAAAGTGCGCTACTTTCACCGAGTACAAGCGCACCTCTATAATTCCACGCCGTATTATTCGCAATAAAAGAAATCGAGTTACCGCGCGATGATTTCTCAGTTAATTACTTAATTATTCTCGCAAGCCCTAAATTGTATCCTTGACTTTAACCACTGCTTTACTCCACGCTGTATATTCATCATCTAGGAAGATCTAATACATTTTGAATTTTTTCAATTTTCAATTTGCGAGGAGCTGCCTCTCCTCTTTCGTGATTATTCGAAACTTCTCGGAAAAGTAACTCGTTATAAGTTTCGACAGCTTACATTGTCTCTGACGTTTCTTTAAATTATTGCTCATTTCATAAGTTTGATATTTTATTTATTACGACCGTATTTTTAACGTGATTGATGATGATAATATTATGGGTTTATCGCGAGGAAATTTCAAATAGCTTTAAAGAATTTTCCAAGAAAAAAGGTATTGCAATACAAGACGGCATATACAATTTCAAGTATCATATATTCTTAGATATTCATTTTTTAGATAATGCAGTTATATCAATATGATAAAGTATAACATATGTTGATAAATATAATTCTTTTGTTATCGAACTTTCGATTCTTTTTATCTTTACATCCCAGCGTCTATTAAAAAGATTATATAGATATTAATTATTTGATTTGACGATTTAATTGATCTTGATGCCTTTCGACTTGCCAAAGTCAAGAGCATCGCCTGCATGAAATGAAGACCTCCTTCAATAATTCTGTCGATCGTGAAACGACCTGAAATACAATGATTCACAGTCGCGACGGTATTTAGAATTATAAGACTGGCAATCGTCGGACGATCGGCGGCCGTTAGCAATAAACGATGGATCGCAATTGCGTGTAATTGCCACCTATGTGTAAAATTCATTCTACACGGATCTTTGAGCGCAACCTTGCGCTAACCGACCGTCAAATCAAGGCTGCACTATTTTCTCAGTTTCTCTTTCTTTTTCTACACATATACACCCGCAGGCGCATTAGTTTTGCAATGTTCCGCAGTGCCGACTGGAGAGGACAGCACTTTAAATAATTTTATGATAGACGTACGGAATTCCGATTTTAAAGTGTTTTCTTTTTAATTGAACGTGTTGCGTAAGAATTGATTTATTATGACTAACGAACGTTTCTTAAAAACTTGTAACTGAAATTAAATCCATTATTTCTGTAGCAATATATTCTGTAGCAATATGTTCATACATATTTTTCAGATTAGATTAGATATTAACATTATTCTTATTTTGATTAGATTAAATTTAAACAAACATTATTATTTTGCGGAGTGATTTTTTTTTTTTGAAAAATTTGAATTTAGATATGAGAATATGGGCAATCTAATCAGGTAGAATCGAATAGAAAACAAGCAAATATTTTTATATTAGGCAGTGGAACTATGAAACTCAAAAAATCGATTTTAGAATAAACGATATTTTATAAGATACGAGACACAAATTAAATGATAGAATCAGAAAGAATTTTCTCTAGGAAGATCTAATTATTGTTCTATTTAATAATAATGATAATAAAACTTACCCTCAAGACTCTGATCATATCCTTTCGTGAAGAAGAGCATGGCTTTCGCGGCGCGTTCCGGAGTTTTCAAAAGTCCCTGTCGTTCCGGGTCTTCGCCCAGCGAGCTTAATAGTAGCTTGTAACTTCGCGTCATTTCCGGTATCATCGCCTCTCGCGTCGGTGGGCGGTGGTCCAGCTCCAAATCATGGTGGAACATGCACTTCTCATGGCCTGAAACGCAAATGAAACGTAACGTCGATTAGATCGGAAACGTAACGGAACGACCGCGGATTTCATTTTCCCGCCCACAATAGTCGAGGATTTTCGCTAAGTGATATATGTCGGACGAACAACATTTCAACATCTTTGCTATCGCGTGTCATGACCCGTGAATCGCGACCCGTGCGCGTATTCGCGTATAAGCGGAATAAACTACGTGCGGTCACACCGCGCGATTGAATGTCTTGCACTCATTATGCGAGATAAGACTCTTTCCCAGAATAAAATGTTAACGACATACCAGCGTATCGGTAGCAGATTCAATCGGATATTGTAGCAGATCAGATGGAATTTACCCTTCGGAAAACTTTGCTGACATAATCTGACAACGGACAGAGAGAATTTGTTATCTTTCGACGAAGTAGAATATTTCTATTATAAACAGTTACGAAATAGTAAACTCTTCTCGCTTTCGTCAATCTGTTATCGCATATCATCATACTTAATAAATGTTCGTAAAATTTGCTTTCAACGGATTTGATTGATTTCGAGTCCGCGAAATGGTTCAACAGTCCGATTTATTATCTTATATCTCGTACGTGGATGACGAGTCAAGTTTGACGTATATTTGGCAAGTTTGTCGCTTTCCGCGATTGCTGCGAAACTTTTCTCGATTCTGAGATTTTCACATTACAAATCTCGTAGAAATTGATGCAGCACGAGGAGTTTTCTTCTGTTGACTTCGGTTTTGCTTGTAACTGTTGACATTTCATTAGTCACTGGGATTCAATGACCGATTCGATCGATTTTCACAATAGCCTGCGAAGCTCATCGATTCGCACATTACAATAATATGATTCCCCCCCCCCCCTCCCCTGACACGTCACATATAATTGAGATGAATTAATTAACGGTTCAATCGTTTGAGCGATCTATAAGAATTTCGTGCGCGCATCCGATGATCGTTCTTCTTCGACAAGTCGATTAAGAAAATTGTTCCATCGTGTGAGAACAAAGTGGCGTGCGTGATTAAAATAGTACGCGTTTCCATTTCGTGTGCGTAAACGGTGCGTAGAAAGTGCTCGGCAAAACAGATTCAAGGTTTCGCGTGCAATATTATTCATGGACTCGCGAGCGATCGGCTTCTCTAAGACGACGACGATGACGACGACAACGACGACAACGACGACGACGAGAGAAGCGCTTGTTCACGTTGGAAACTCAGTTAGCCCACCTCTTCCTGTAATGAACCGTGCCGCGTAATTGAATCCAGTGTCGACGACAAAGCGATCATTAAAGTCAATGCGGAAAATTCGTTCAATACGATATCGAAAGAATTTCGATTATAGAGCGTTAATTGAGCGAAAAATGATTTGACATTTGGAGAAACTAAGTAGCGACGGCAGAGAAACTTGTTCGTTTTCACATTTGATACGCGGCAAAAATGACGATTCTGTTGCGACAATAATAATCGCTTTCTTTGTACGTTAAAGTGATGAAATATTCATAACGTCCGTTATTTCGAAAGTATAGTTCACGAGAGATAGCGTTTTAATTGTCGTGAAAATGGAAACGTATCCTTTCTTTTACGACTAAAAATGACTAAAAATATCTCTGCGATAATTTCTTGCAAGGTGAATCGACTAATTACGATGACGTAGTTATCTAAAATCGTCTCTTCATTTCAGGTTTTCGAAATATAATGTCGAACGGTGTTCTTACGATCAAGCATCGATTTCTTGCGAGATTCTTAGAATCGCGATTTTTTATCGTCATGCTAAACTTGTAATGATTTACATTCCTTTTTCTGAAATTTTTCTGATATCACCTCGCTATGTATCACATTTTCATAAAATTACAGTTATATTGCACATCACTGTAACTGTACCCCGACGATACCTTGCCCATACTCGTTTACTATCTCAAGATCACCGCGGTGTAATTAATATGGGAACAGTCGTTCCGGCGGCCGTCCATCAAAATTTAACACGTGCTGATATTGAAAGAAATTCTCGGACTTTTCCTTAAACACGAAGCATTTCTCGTTTATAAGAGCATTTAATTTATATATATATAAATTGTACATTGTAATCTATTTGGCACGTTAACAAACAATATTTTACATATTATTGTATATATAGTGATTTATCAATTCCTAAATGAATTTTAATATCTATAAAATAAAAAAATATGACTGACGCGAAGACATCTATAAAATTAAAAGCGGTTATTAAAACAGACTTTAATTTTATGTGTGATTAATCCGGGAATATCTATTTCGTTCTTTTTCAGATTCAGATGTAATATTTCTTTGATGAAAATTTCATGATTATCACTACGTATTAATTTGAAGTAAAAAAAAAATATGTAGAAAAATATTTCCCCAATATGATATGGAATATTCGAGTGAAGTGTCAAACGCTAGTTTATATTTAAATTACTTTTAAGCGTAAGTATCAACGGAATTTCGTAAAGTCGATTTAAGTCTGACGAGATACGAGCGAGAATTACGTAGACTGTGTTTACGCCTACCTATCAGCTCAAAAAACATTAATTATTAGTACGAGGTAATGGTTACACGTTTTATTATAGTTATTATAATAATTCGCTTGTTAATTTGATATCTTTCACGATTCTTAGAAAGAACGTGTTGATTGACAAAAGCTGCAATGTAAAAGATTTTGCATTGAATAGATAAATTGTATCGGAACAAATTGAAACTAATTAAATTTTTCAAAAAATTAATATTATGAAATATTTTTTCGTGATAAGTGATTATTCAGTATTAAAATTATCACAAATTATGGTACCTTTCGTCGTTGATGTACGTGGTGTTTTGGGTGTTCCGGGAACATCTAAGTCAGTTTTTTCGATGTTGTCGCCCCACGAAACCGCCCTTAATGGCAAGGGTTTCTTGATCATTATCGTCGAATTGTCGTCTTCGCCATCGTACATCTTCAGCTTTGCGCATTGGTTCGATACCCCATTCATGATTGATAATCTTTTGGTTCTTGTTCCGATTAAGAATGTCGGGAGATTTCCAGAATGTTAAGCGCTGTAAAATAATATTGGAAATTTCCGAACTGTCAAGCAATGCGAGATAACCGTACTAGAAACATACTATAAGAAATAAGCTGATGAAATAAATGTAACTAAATCTGAAATTAATAGATACGATATATTCTTATATAAATACTCTCGCGTTATCGAACAATATTAAGAATAAATATTTCAGTATTAAGCAATACATAAATTAATATATATATATATATATATATATATATATATATATATATAAATATATATTATGTCATTAATGATGAGCAATTATCTTGTTAATTATACGAGGATTATTTTTACAATGATAAAAAAGAAAACAAAGTTTGTCTATTCTAAAATTGAAAGAATCTTATAAATTATTATCATTCCAATATATATTTCAATTTGATATTTTGTTCATTTAACAAAATGTAATTAAAGAGTTCTCTTTTCACTGGACTTTTCATTCGCAGTAACCGCTTGACATTTGACATTTTCCATGTCAAAAATTTACAACAGCTCCGGCCAAAAAATAATTGAGTGCCACTTGAGTGACAAGAATAATCGAATCGGACTTTCCACTGACTCTCTACTTCTATGTTCTGAAATTCTATGTTCGCACGAAATAAAGCTGAAAGATCTCTTCTCTTCTCAAGATCTTTTTCCATTCTTGATCTTCGGTCGACACTTACTTCTAAGTAGCTTGTCGTTTTGCAGAAGGATCAGCGTTACGTTCTACGGCACAAGAAGGTCTGGCCGCCGGTGAGAAGCAAGAACGTTTTAAAACAGAAGACCGGGAGAAACGGCTACGAGGAGAGAAGCTAGCACCGCGTGCGACGAGCGACGGACGCGCGAAGAAACCGCGACACGAACGATTCTCAGGACGGGCGGAGCGCGACTGATGCGAGTCCGATCGTACGTGGATGTGGATCGAGCGACAGTGGTGGCGGCGAGAGCGAACGTCACCCGCGAGTCCTTCCGAAACCATATATACGCGCACGGACCCTGGTCTCTCTTTTTCTCTCTCTCTCTCTCTCCTCCTCTCTCTCTCTCTCCTTCTCCTCCTCCTCCTTCTCCTCCCTTCGCTACTCCTACTATATCAGAAAGAGCCGCGAATCCACCTCACGCCGGAAATTACAGAAAACCAGGGAGGGAGGGAGGGAGAGGAATTACACTGCCTCCTCCAATTTTGAACATGAGACATAGTGGATCCAAGTGTTGCATCACCTGTAGATATCGAGCAATTATAAATGCGTAGAAAATTATCAAGATAATGTGTCGACAGAAATTAAAACTTTCGATTTACATTATCGAATCCTAACATTTCTTTCCTTTGCCTCCTTCGCTCGATGATCGATAACGAGGAAATGACTTCATATGACTTCGAGGACCGTCTGATTATTGAGATTCAAGTGCGTCCGGGGATTAATAGAATCACAGCTTTTGTTTTCTTGGATTTCCATCTATTCTTTCTGTTTTATGTATTTTATATTGAATTTATCACTCTCATCCTGTTCATCCTATTAAAAAAGAAAATCGCGTAATTTTATAAAATATGTCGTCAAATTATATAATAGAGTTTAGAAAATAATTAATTAACTGACTGATAATTTTGATCGGCTTATCAAATCGATTAATTGATGTCAATTAGAAAAGAAAACTGAAGAATTTCTTGTGAACAAATCTGGAAATTCTGACATAAGACAGGGGAAAGCCCACTTATATTAGATTATTGCATTTCGTTGGCAGGAAAATCCCAACATTTTTAGAATACAATCAGAAAAATTTTGATATTAATATACAGAATTTAATATGCAAAGTATAGTAATGTAAAACAGATATATAAATTATATAAAATAGTAAATGTTAAATGTGTGTGATTAAATGTATGATATTCATATCTTATTCATATGCCTGATTATAACATCTATCTACTTGCAGGGGTTGTACTCGAGATGATAACGTAATAAAGAGAACACGATGTGATTATCGGGAGATAATCGGGAGATTTTTGATCAAGCGCATTTACAATAACATTTATCAAATCAACAATCAGATATAACGGAAGCAATCGTAATCGCTGTTTTACCCAAATGACGTACGCACGCATGCACGCACGTACGCATTTACGCATGATATTGAAATATCCTGTACACTTAAAGTAAAGGGGAAAATAAAAGAGGAATAGGGTTTTACGAAAGACCCGATTTAGTCGGAAAGTACCTACGTCATGGTGAATCCCGACGTCAAACAACCGGTTCTTACATATGAACATTACCTTTTTCTCACAAGGAAAAGGCAAGCTCAATCTTCTATTTCCTTGATATTTTATTTTCAACCCTTGCAAAAAATCAACAAATAATTATAAATTTTAAATAATAAACAATCCAAGTTGATATATATTTTTAAAATCACAAGATCATAAGTGGCATTAATCGGAAAACAGAGTCTTAGAATCGAATAATTTTTCCTTTCCTTATTTTCTCAATATACATAATATATACATACTGAATATACATAAATTCAAATGCTTCATATCGCGAATGATGTATCGTTATAATTACTTGCAACATAGCCCGCTGGCAGGCTTTCATTATTTATCTGATTATTTTATCTAATTTTAGAAAATTTTTAAAATTTTAAATAATACAACTTTCTTGTTAATTACATTTTTCTAATACATTATAAATTTTCTGATTTTTGCGATTTAAAATCATTAATATTCCAAATAAATGATATATATACAAAATAATATTATATTAACACATATATTACGTAGGCGACTTTTATAATCATCATTCACCATAAGATATAATTACTTTAGTTTCGTAGTATTTTTATTTACGTGCCATGAGACAGCGTTGTATATATAGAAGGATAATATTGAATCCATTTTAGACCTATAATCTGCGAACCTATAATCTGCGTCAGTAATCAGAGGATACAATTCTATTTATAATTTTACACGAATTAGATAGTCTAAAATTTAGTTTCGGATTTTACTGTAAAACGATGTTCTACGATTTCTGTAAAACATCGATTACATCATATATGCAGCAAACGTAACATAATGAACCAGAAAATCTGATTCGATGTACAAGGAAGATTGATATATTCTTACACAACTGTGCTTCGTATATCATAATCATAACTGGCTAAGCATAAGGCCAGATAATATTAATCATCATAGAGGATTGTTCTCACCTTCGGAAAAACGTGCATTAGAATCGGCCGGCCTCAATATTTTTTACCTGTGCGTGCTATTTCTTTTATCATTTAGCATAAAAGCATTCTTAGAACTCGATTCTTCACGCGTTACTTCCTATATCGGCATCTCGCTGAAGCGAGCAAAAAGAAAAAAAATTTGCGAATCCTTCCTTGTAAATTTTTTAATCAAATTTTATAAAATTATATGTTGATCGAACAAGTAAGTATAAGAAAAATATTATAAAAGTTAATATCAGGATTGAAATTCCTTTGTAAATATTCATATAAATTTTGATAAAGTATTGTATGTATTAATACAATACTTATCATTAATTGTAAATTATTTCCACTTTTTTCAGCGACTTTTAATAAAAAAAAAAAGAAAATCTTTCTTTCATTTTTTACAAATGTATGGCATATGCTAAGTAATCGCCAATAAAAATAGGATTAAAAATATATAACATTCATCGCTTTCAAATAATGGAGTTTTCTCGGTCTCTCTAAAGTATATATTCTTTTTAGTAAGCGAGAAAATTAGTAATAAATAAATTCGTCCGCCATTGATTATCGATGCATTAATAATAAATAAATGAAGAGACGTTTTTGGTTAACATATTATCACCAAAACGTCTTATGCATTAAAATTGTGATATGCTTATAATTATTAATTTTTAATATAATCGCTAATAGTTTTTAGTTTTGTAAATGTTCTTGATATCTTGTATATCTGGTAATTATCGTAATATATTTCCTACACACATTTAATATAATGCATTAATAAAAGGCAGAAATTATATTTGTTATAATTATAATCATATATTTTCGTATTGTAATTAATAAATTTCAACAATATACATCTCATATATATCAATTATTTTCTTTCAAATTTTTTACGAATATGCATCAATAATTAAATATTTAAAAAAAATATTTTTGATAAATTCCATTCCAAGCGATGTTATATAGAATTTTTATCCAAGAATGAATCATTAAATTATTAAGTATATGTATTAGTAGTACTTAGACTATATTTATCAATATATCGTCTTGGCCTTCCAGTTTGAAAATATGTATTTCATATTAATGTATAATATTTCTGTTCCCTTTTATTCTCAAATGGAAATATATTCCTTGTATTAATTTCATTCAATCGTCCACGAAAGTTTTTGTCCCTGTCTTATTTCTTGTTCAATTTTGGATCCAAGGAAAAAGGGATCGAATCATTTCATTTTAGATTGAAAAGAGCGATGCGTTTTTCGTTGTAATTCACTGAAAAAAGTGTTTAGTTGGATTAATTGGAATTCCGTTGAAAATGAACAAATTAGAATTTTCTGCTTAAATCTACTAAAATTTTAATTGAAATAACTGGAATTCTGATTATATTAATCAGAATCTTCTAATTTGTCTATTTTCAATCAGACATTTTTCTCAGTGTTTGCTCCCTTTTTCACAAGAAACGCGATATCTTCTGCGAAAATAAAAAAATTCCATAAATTATATATGTATCTCGAGTGATCACAACGAATGATAAGTTATATATTTAATTTATGCGATCGCGATAAATATAAAGATAAAATCGGTTTGAAAAATCAACTAGTTTTCCACTGCGAAAGAATTTTACGCAGTCGGAATCCCCCGGATGACGTACATCGTTCATCAATACGCTGATTATAGGTGATTTCCAAGATTTTTATTAAAATTGTAATTTAGTCTACCTTCCTTGTGAATAATGCGCAGGAACGCCAAGGAAAACGTATGCGATGCGTATGTAACACGAAGGATATGTATCATTTCGTTGAAACACCGCAATATTTCCTTTTTAATTAAGAAATTCGATTCAGATTAAACATTTAATCTCAACCTTATTATGTACAAACAATAATTTAAGCTGATATGTTTTTAAAACAACAGAATGTCATGATCATCTTATTATATATATTTAAATTATTTTTATTTATTCCAAGGTAAATATAATTAAATATAATTTTTCGTTTTTTTTTTTTTTTAATTATACATGACACAAATGTGTGATTCTTTTTATTATAAAATTCCCATTTTACCTTGAATCATTTATCTTATAAAATAATATATATACATGTCTTATATATGATTTTCTTATAATATTTAGGATGGATATGAGGTATGGGGGAGGGATTAGGGTTTGTATGCGTGTGCAAAAAAAAATATAT